CCCCTCCTCAGACCCCCATAGCACAGCTGTCCTGCAGGATGCAAAGCAATCACGTCATTCCTGGGGGTGTTGGTTCCTGTGGGATGAGCTGCTCAAGCCTCAAAGCCCCAGCAACCCAATTAAGTTTTGCAATACTTAACTTTTTCGTAGCCCCTTTGGTTTCATAATTCTGGGCTCCCTCTGGAGGCGAATGCTGCACGAGAAGCTGAGCAAAGGGAACAAAGCAGTTGAGGACCCTGGAGAGAAAGAAACACCCTCTCCTAAAAGTATTGCTTACAAAAGCTGCTTATGTGGGTTTTTTTCTTTCCAATTTCTTGATTTTAGGAGGGCTAAGGAGATCCTGGGAGTTGCCAGTGATCTAACAGTCTACTCATCCATACAAAATGTGAAAAATGGCTGGGTTGGGAAAACCTCATTAGGGTTTTGGATAGAGAAATAAAACGGGAGCTGACAAGTGCAGGTGTCCAGGCAGTACAGAGTGTGGGAGACTGCATGGGTGAAGCTGCTCCTGGAGAATTCACCAAGAACCTCCCCAGAATCAGCCACGTCCCTCCAGCTGCCATGGATGCAGGGGTGCCAGGAATGCTGCTGAGGTGCTGGGTCCCTCTAACCCAATGGGACAAGCCTGGCAGCATGGCATGGAGAAGCAGCTGCAGGCACTCACCAACCTCCAGTGAGAAGGCATCGGCATCGGTGCAGGAACGTCGGCAACAGGATGTCTCTCACAAACCCAAATTATTTCCTTCCTAAGTCATCAATACTAAATATTTAATGATGGAATTGTTAGATCCTTTGGTTATTACCTTCCTGGCTGGATCAACTAAGGCCTTTCCAAGCTGGCCAGGGCATAACCATCACATCGGATGGGACACTGGACTCAGTCTGGGGTGGCTCCTAGCCTGGGACAGTGGGATGGTTGATCCACCCGTGGGACAAGGCGTTTCCCACAAAGTGGTTCAGCCTGAGGGGCTAATGAAGGTCTTGGAAGATTTGAAGAGCTAATGGAGATTTTGGAAGGATCCCAAAGAACTGGATGTTTTCTGCCTAGCAGAACTCATGCCTCCTGAAAGAAAAAAGGGAAGTGTTCAAAACTTCCTGCACTGAACTCAGCACAAAGTCTTTTCATCTAGGGCTAAACAAAACCTTGGAGGCCAAGGCAATGTCTTTCAGGTTTCTTGATTTAATGAATAGGACAAAAGACTGTTTTTTTCTCCGAGTTTGAGCAGCACCACATGGGAGCAGTGATCTTCAGCAGAGGCCATACGTGGGGGCTAGGGTCTTGGGCTAGGACTGCTTGCACTGGGCTGTCATTGCTGTGTCACTCTGCCCTGTGGGTCCCCATCTGTGGGCACAAAGACATGCATGTGGCTGTGACCTTTGCCCACGGCAGCTGCAGGATGCCAATCCTGCCTGCCTTCAGGCTCTTGACAGAAGGGTGTCATAATTTAGATAATAAAAGCTGGATTTTTTTTACCCCCAAGGAAAAGGGCCAGGACACATTTCTACTGCCATGACATCCCTACCTGGAGTCTTCTTGGGATTGTAGACACTCACAGATGTCCTTCATGGACAGGAATTGTTTTCAGTAGCCAAAATAAACCAAACCTGCCTGTCTGGACCTGTCCAAGGATGGGCTGTCCCTGGATGCTCATGGCATATTTCTGGGTTCTCTTAGACCCAAAGCAGAGAAGCTTTGGGGGTAAAAGGAGGGTACATGCCCAGGAGAGGCTCCGAGGCAAAAGGACTTGCTACTCCCAGTGTTGTCCCCTGGACCTGGCCACAGGGCGAGCAGCAGTCATGTCAGTCATGTCGCCCCGTGTCCAGAGGGCCAGACAGCAGTGCGACAGGGGAGTGAAGTGCTGGGATGTTTGTGCCTATGGAATAGTTCAGGCTTTCTGCTTTGGGGATGTGCTGGTCCATGGAGGAGAGCCACAAAGAGATTAGAGGGATGAAGCATTTCTCCTGAGGAAAGGTTGCAAAAGCCTGAAAGTTAAGCTTTTTCATCTGAGAAGGCTCCAGGGAGACCTTAGAGCCTCTTCCAGTGCCTAAGGAGGCTCCAAGAGAGCAGGGCAGGGGCTTTGGACAAGGGCCTGGAGTCACAGCACAAGAGTGAATGGCCTCAAGGGTTAGATAGCATAATAGGGAGAAATTGTTCCCTGCGAGGGTGGTGAGGCCCTGACACAGGGTGCCCAGAGAAGCTGTGGCTGCCCCATCCCTGGAAGTGTCCCAGGCCAGGTTAGACGGGGCTTAGAGCAACCTGGTTTAGTGGAATACATCCCTGCCCACGGGAAGGTGCGAAACAAGATGTTCTTTAAAGATCCCTTCCAACTCAGAGCCATCTGGGATTCTGATTCTCCAATTCAATGGTCCATGTGCCCAACCCTCATCTACACTGAGGCAGGGCAGTCAAAGGGTGTTTTTACATGGGTGAGTTTTGATGGCTCCTTGGGATATGACTGCAGCACAGACCTAGTACAGGCTCTGTCCCTCCAGTTGCCTGTTTCCACCCAGAGCATGACCCCATCTCCCAGGAGGAACAACCAGAGGTGGCCCAATGGCACAGCAGGAGGATGAGGTCACCTCTACCCATTGTCTGCACCCACTGCCACACAGGTGTCCCAAAAAGGGACACTTTGGGTCCAATGGAACCCACACAGTACATGTGGTCCTCCAGGGTGCTGGCCAAGACCTCAGCCCCTGCTGACAGCTGCTCTTCCAGAGCTGAATATCCACCATGTGCTGCTACCTCTTTGTGTAATGTGGGGGAGTTTAAGTCATGGTCCCCCTGGTACACAGCTGCAGAACAAAGCAGGGATTCTGGGGGCCTCGCTCTTCCCCATCACATCAGTCTCCCAGAGGGAGCATCTGCCTTCAATCAGATCTTGGAACAGAGCGGGGTGGCTCTGCCTTGGAGCAGGCAGAGGTGAGCACCCACACCAGGCTGGGATCACAGCCAGTCACTGGCCCTGGCAGAGATCTGATGGGACAGAAGCAGAGCCTGGATGCTGTGTTTGATCCCCTCCAGATGGGAAGTGTCCCCCAGAAATGAACCATGCTGGCTCAGGCACCACCATACCATGCAGTGGGGAGGACCCAGGGTCTTCTTCAGGTAATCACACCCTCACAGTTTGCTTGCCAGGGAGCTGCACTGACAACAGCAGGACAATAGGTACAGAGCAGGAGGGCTGCAGGGCCAGGGCAGCAGAGACTGTGGTGGCCCAGCAGTGCTGATCATATGGCAGGGAAGAAAAGCAAAAAAGACAGAATGTTGAGGTCAGGGCCCCAAGATGCAGCTGCTCCTGCTGGCATGTGGGATAATGGCTCTGCTGGGGCAACAGCCCTTCTCTAAATGGGAAGCTGGGCATGAAGCCCAGGCTCAGAGGGTATGTAAAGGCATGTAGCTGGGTAGGAGAAGAGAGAAACTATGAATAGATAAACCTGGGTGGCTGGATCCTTCCCAAACTGCATGGCTGAGGACACAGAGGATGAGATCCTGCATCCTTGGGCAGCCCAGGGGCCAGATACACCTCCAGAATGAACTCAGGAGAAGGCTCACTATGCTCAGTAGCACCCCCATGCAATGGCACCCACCATAAATGCCCAGGGACAGGCATGCTGACCCCACGGTGCTGCACCTGCTTGTTGCAACCTCCAGTGTGGAGGTGAGGTGGGTTGCCAGGAGCTGTCCCAGCTGGGGACAGCACAGCCCTGCTCCAGCTGTTCCCAGTGTAACCACAGCTTCACACAGTGGGTTCCAGCAGTTATCAGAGCCTTGGAAGTGCTACAGATCTATAGAAACCCAGTTCCAGCAGGCAAAAGCCTGAAGAGAATGAAAGGTGTTCAACCACACGTCCCATCATATACATCACTTACAGACCTGGCCCCAAACACAGGTCTCACAGCCCCTGAGCCAGCCCCCACAGTTAAGGGTGCCTAAGTGGACACAGAGCACAGGGGAGGGTCAGGCTCATCGGGGACCTAGAAACAGTGTGGCCAGTCCAGAGTGACAGCTGGAGATGAGCCCTGCAGTTCCCAGGGGAAACCTGGTCCCAGTGGGCCCTGGCACTGTCAGGTCTACCCTGCAACCTGCAGCAGTCTCACAGAAAGTAGGGTGGGGGCCAGTGGTGCTGGTCAGGGCTGGGACAACCCTCCTGGGTGGGGGCAGAGAGAGCTGCCCTGGCTCTGCATTGAGCAGCCTGGAGTGGGAACCATGACCCTCTTTTTCCTTTGGAAGCCCGCATGAGCTTCACACCCAAGCAAAGGCACAAAATGGGAACCAAGGGCAATTACCAACCCTCTCTAGTCCCAGTTGGAACTAGTGGCTGCCCTAAGCAGCACCTGGAAGAAGCCCATGGCAGAGGTCCCTCTGCCAGCATGCAGACTGGGGTCTCCCTCTTGGCTCTACTCCCTGCAGTAGAAGGCTCAGTCTCTGCAGGGTTCATCCCATAGCCCAGGAAAGGATGGTGCCCCAATCAGTGCAGAGCCTCAGGTTCACCCCACTTGAGTTGCCATCTCAGCACAGGGCAGAGGGACACGTGGCACACGTGCCACGCCACCGAGGTCCCTTGTGGCTGACCCTGTGGGAAGGAGTCACTGCAGAACACCAGCCACTGTTGCCACCTCTGTGGGGTAGCTCTGAGAAAGGGTACTTAAAAGCAAATAAGAGGTTGTGAATTGCACCAGCACTGCCTGAGCAGCGTGAGCCCCAAGCACAACTTCTGGAGGAGTAGACAGATGAGGCTAGAGCACATGGAAGGAGTGGAGGTGGCTTTAATACCCTGCCCCACAGCAGGGGGCGGGGGATCCCCAGTCCCTGGGAAATCCAGAGGTGATGGGAAGGGACATGGAAACATGTCCAGGTGCAGAGACCCCCGGGCTCTTTGTTTGCTCACCAGATTGCAGCTTCAGCTCCCCCTGCATTCTGAGAGACAGGACAGTCAGGGACTTCAGGGCTGGCAGCAGTAGATGGGCTGATTTAGGGAGAGAGACAGAAGGATAAATTAAATAGGTCACCTCACTTTATTATCCCTACAGACAGGTAACCCTCATAAAAAGGGTCAGTTCTAATTAAACCTCAGGCAAAACAGGCACCAGACACCAGAAGAGCATCACAAAAAGGATGGCAAGCACTGATGCCCAGGGGACAACTAACACTCAACTCCTTCAGACAGGGGACATAACTAGCCATAGCCTTGCTGCTCCTCCTCCACCATCTCCCTGGCACTCTGCTGATCCCCACTCCAGCTGCAGGCACATGGACAGAGTAGGGATTCATGCCTTGCAGTGAGCTTTAGCTCAGGATGAATCTCAAAGAGAACAGCTGGATGGGACAGAGAGTCCTGACAGATAAGAACAGAAGTGAGAACAGAATTGGCCTGCATGTGTCAGCTCAGGGCAGCACCAGCACCTTCGGCCCAGCACAGCACCACAGCATTATGCCTGGAGAGTCAGAGCATGAAACAAGCCCAGAGAAAAAGGTCCTGACCCTGGGGGCCAGGCTGCACTACAGGGGATCTCCAGTGAAAGTACCACGGATACCAAGTACCAAGCCACAACCAAATGTCATTCAGCTCAAGCATCATCACTGAGGTGGTGGGAAGCACGAGGAGTCCTGAGATATGCCATCTAATAGGACCCATCTTTGACCACCACCACCCCTCAAGAGACCTGCAGAGAAGTGCAGCTCACAGTCAGGATGTCGTCCCTGGCAAGTAGCCTCCACAACCACGTGAGGCAGAGCTGCCATTTCTCCACGTGCAGAAGTGCACAGTGCAGAGCCTATCAGCCTGTGCTCTGTCCCACACTCAGTTAAATACAAAACCAAGTTCTAAAGCCCCTCTGTGAGGTCAGGCTGATGTGAGCATCCTCAGGCTATGGAACATCATTACTCCTTTTACAGTCATCATGAAAAGAATCTAATCCTGGCAGACATCAGGAAGTATTTGCCAGGTCAAGACAAGTAACGTGTGAGGTGAGGTGTCTGCCTCAACTTGTCAAATGCCCAAAACAGCAGCTCAGAGGTGTAGGCTATCTTGGCTGGGTCTATGGCTCATTCCCTAGCTTACAGACATGTAAACAGCAACTATAGTACCACTAACACAAACATGACAGAGGAGCTGCCATGAGGACCACCAGTTTGGGCACTACAGGGCCAGTGTCTCTGGCAGGCAGAACATGGGCAGCAGAGAGGGGCCAGGCATGCCTCCTTGGATTTCCAATCTTGTCTTCCAACGGCAGGAGCCAGCATCCTCTAAGGGCCAGACTGGTCTGGAGATGCTGGCTGGAGTGCTGAAGATACATCACTTTTCCCCAAAAGCACCCAAAATCCAGCCTAAGTCAGCAAGGGCACAGCAGCTCAGCCGACACAGGCAGCATAGACAGCAGCCCTGTGTCCTGCATGCTGGGAGTCACAGGGCTGGGGACAGCATCCCTGCAGCCCATTTAGAGACAGGAAAGGAGCAGCTTGAGAGCAGCATGGCTGATAAGCCATCAGGAGGGCGAGGATGCTCCCCAAGAGGGGTCTTGGTTTCCAGCTGCCACCAGCAGCCCCAGACCTTGAGACAGAACACCTGGAGCAGTGGGTGTGATGAGTTTGGGGCAAAAGTCCCTTGAAACCCCCGAAGAAGTTTGGGGATGGGGCAGGGGAAGCATGTGCTAGATGAAGGTGGAGTCCAGCTGGCTCATCTCATGGTTGTTGTGGGCACGAGCCTCGAAGAGTTGCTTGATCAGGGCAGACTTCTCCTGCTCCAACTGGGTGATGCGCTCACTCTTGTCAGTCACCTCCTGCACAAGACAGGGGAGGAAAATGCTGGCAACTGGTGTGTTGAAGGTAACATTTCATAGAACCAAAGAATCACAGGCCTTGTGTGGGAGGACATTAAAGCCCATCTCATCCCAGCCCCTAACCACAGGCAGGAACACCTTCCTCTAGAGCTGGTTGCTCCAAGCCCTGTCCAATCTGTCCTTAAACATTTCCAGGGATGGGGCAGCTTCTTTGGGCACTCTGTACCAGGGCCTCACCACTCTCTCAGGAAACAATTTCTTCCCAATATTCCATCTCACCTTGCCCTCTTGCAGTGGGAAGCCATTCCCCCTTGTCCTGTCCCTCTAGGCCCTTTCCAAAGGACCTCTCCAGCTCTCACAGAGGCTCTTTAGGCACTAAAGGAAAGGGCTCTAATGTCTCCCTGGAGCCTTCTCCTCTCCAGGTAAACACCCCCAGCTGTCCCAGCCTGGCTCCAGAGCAGAAAGACTCAAGGCCCCTGAGCATCTTTGTCACGATGTGCTGGGACAGAAACCCTAGCAGTGAGCCTGGCCCTGGCAGACCATCTCTTCCCCCAGCTGCAGCCTCTGCACTCTCTTGTGGCCCCCGTTTGTCACAGTCTTTTCCCTCTGTCAGGAATGCCCCATCCCTGCCACTGACTCACTCAAACAGCTGGAGACAGCTGGGCACATCTGTGTGCCAGAAGGTCTCCACATGCAGCCCACATCCCCTCTTCTGGGATGGCCAAGTCTGGCCAAGCTGAAGGAACATATCCCACTGCCCGTCATTACTTCCCCAGCCCCATGCCATACCCTTCCTTTCCCAGCACCCCAAGGGCATCTCCTCCACCGCAATCTTTTCTCACCTTGGTGAGAAGCCGATTCTGCTCCTTCAGCATGTTGATGGCTTGCTGGGGGCCTGTGGAGGCTGGGGATGTCACAGGGACCAGCCTGCTCAGGGCCGAGGAGGGGTTTGCTGTCTGTAGTCAAGATGAAGGGATGAGACACTGAACCTCCTACCCTGTGGGTCTTCCCGCCCTTCTTCGAGGCGAGATGCTTCTATGGCACACCAAGAACTGAGAGAACCCCAGCAGAAGATTAAAATCCCAGCACAGGCCATCACAGGGTCTGCAGCCCAGCAGGCAGAATGGGGAAGCATTCCTGCCAGTGTGCCTGGCTCCTGCCCAGCAGGACAGTCAGCCCTGAAGTGGCTGACACAGCAGCTCAGAAGGTTGGGCTTCTTATTCCCTTGACAATGTCTGTACCTTTTTGGGGATCTTCTTTGGACCCCCAAATTCCTTAAGCATCCTCCAAGCCCACCTCAGGACCAGCTGTGCTGTCCTCTTGGCTGTCCTCCATCACCTTCCCAGAGTTGGGAGAAACCCTGCCAGCTCCAATATCAGCCCAGCCACCAACATGGGCGGGGGGGGGGGGACAGGATGAGTCCTAAGATCACACAAACAACCTCAAGCTGCTGATGTGCTGTTCTCACCTTGCCAGCAGTGGAAAGAAGGTCACCCAGGCAGCGGTTCACCTCCTGCAGCTTGGGGACCAGGCGCCCCAGGTGACTCTGGCCACCTTCAGGGAAATCCTGCAAGATGGCGAGGAAGAAAAGGCTGGAGGTTACCATGGGGTCAGCTCCAGGTCCAGCCATCTCCCAGCCCTGTTCTCCAAATCCACACACAGCCAGAAGAAGCCTCAGACTCACAGCACTGGTCCTCTTCTTCCCCAGGAGCCGCTGGTGCTCTTGCATGAGCTGGATGTGCTGCTGATACCACTCTCGAGCCCGGTCTATGAGCTCCAGACCCTGCAACAGGAAATCCTTCTCCTGTTCCAGCTCCTTCATGTACTTCAGCTGCAAGACAGAGCACAGGGATGTCACCCACTCCCCACCAAGGCTTTGTCAAGTCCCAGGAGTTTGTTTCTTCATGAGGTGTAGGGGAATGTGGATACAGGCAAGCCCCTTTCCTCAAGAAAAGCTGCAGAGGAGCAGGATAATGACTGCTGCCTGATGCTGCTTTGGAGGGGGATTTTTGGAAGATTTTTAGGAGAACAATCAAACTGTGTGAAGGACAGTTGGGTCACCTCTAGCCTCTTGCTCACTATTGCAGGTGCAGATTTCTTCACCTATTTACCCAAGGAGGCAGCAGGACCAGTGCCTGCACCTGCCCCCAGCTCCCTCTGGGGTGTGAATGTCAGCCTCAGAACAGACTCACTTGGATTTTGGTGAGCACTGAAGAGTCTAGCTCATTGTGGCTGGAAGTCAGGGAAAAGCTACAGCACTGTTTCCTCAGTTTGCCTCATCCCTGGAGGCACGTGAAGCTGAGCAGAGCATAGCACACCACACCTCTCTGTAGTGGATTTCTTGCTCACTTGCTCAGGTTCTAGCACCAGCATCACCTGGAGAGCAGTGGGAGCCTTGCTGTGCCTGGAGAGCTGCTATGAGGGTGCCCGGGGCCAAGTAGGATCCAGGGCTGCTGCAGAGCAGGGGACTTGGACCACATCCACGGGGGATACACGGTCCTCATTCCACTGTCACCTTCTGCTCCTACTGCCCCTTGGCACCATGCGGCCACCAGCAATCAGAGAGGTGGGGAGGGATGAGGGGACATTCCTGGGGAACAGAGCAACTGATGCAGTGACCCGTTCATCACGCTGAGCCCACGGCCCTTCTCCTCTTTTCAATACCAGGCTGCTCCCCCAGCTCCCAAGGGCATGGGGAGCTTCCTGCCTCACTGCCTCTGCCTTCTTTGCCACAACACAGCCTGGCTGTCAACCACAGCACAGCCTGGGCTCCATAGTCTTCTCCAGGCACCAGAGACTTTAGCCACCCAGAAAATGCTCCTCCTTTGGAGAGCATCAGGAGTGGTGCAGCTCAGAAGTGACCCCGAACAGAACCCTGTAGACAGGTGGCACCATACCAAGACCTTCTTCAGGCCATCAGCATTTCCACATCCACAATGGCCAGCCCCAAAGCCTCCCTACATCCCATACCTGCCGCCCATTACACTGGGGCTACTCTTGCTCCTGCTGTTCCTGGAAATGCTTTTTGCAACACAACAACCCTTCCTGCACCCTTTTCCAACGGCCCAAAGGGATGTACCCAGAGGAAGAAGTGCAGAGCCTTGGTGCTGTTGCTGAGGGGCATGAAGAAGGTGCTGTATGTGGCAAGGACTCCCACTCAGCTGGGGGTGCAGCCCACTGCTGCCTCCCCTGCCCTCCTCCCACAGGGCTTGCTGGCCAGCACAGAGACTGGAGGAAGAGGGAGCATCCCACAGAGCAGAGGGACACTACCAGCCCTGCCCGGGGTGGGAACAGGCAGCATCTCACCAGGATGAGACATGTAGGGCAGGAGAAAGACAAAATGCTGGACTTGGCTGGTGCTTGGTGATTGGTAAAGGGGAGGAGACAGAGCTGTGCCCTGGGCTGCCTAAAAATGACAGTGCCACCTCTCAGGGAAGGTCTCATCCCAGCCACCCCCGTGGCCATGGGGAAATCAGGCCAATAGATGAGGGACTAGCTGGAAAAACACCAGCTGAGTGAGTGGGCACCAGATAAGCCTCCACAGCTCTGCTCCCTGCTCAGGAGGAATCAGTCCTGGTGTACTTGGGGATGCAGGATGGACACCAGTGCTCCCATTCCCCAAGGGCTTTAGGTGAATTAGCCTAATGACAGAGTTCCTTGTCCTTTGGGAGCCCAGCATCGGGGCAGGGAGGGGTAAGGGAGGTGACAGTACCAAGATTCAGTCCTTGCTGGACTCAAACCTGTTCCAGCTGTCTCTGTAGGCTTGGAAATGGCACCAGTGCCTAAAGGCTGTGCTCAGGGTATCAGGGAAGGCTGAGACACACCCCTTCTCTGGGGTCAGAAGCACAGAAAGACAGTGCAGCACTTGGTGACATATAGGGAAAGAGGGAAGGAGGGGACATCCCTCCCACTGCCCACACGATAATTTGGGGGAATAGAGACCAGGGCAATACAAGCCCAGAGCAAGAGTACTTATGGCAGAGCTGGGGACAGATGGTGGCCACCACCCCTCTCACACAGCACCTTGAGCTTGGGACCTTGAGATGTACTCCAGCCCAGAGCTGCACACACAGGGAAGAGCCCTGCCAGGGAAGCAGAGACCTTCCTTTCCCTAAACAGCAACCCCCAACCCACAAAACCTCAAGAAGCAGAGCCCTCAATCCTAGACACACAGAGCTACATTTATCACTCCTTATCAGCACCTCCCAGCAGAGACCCCTCTCATGGATGCAAGCCCAGCAAACTACCTGCATGAGCATCCCCTCCCCAGGCTGGCATCAGGACATGTTGTGTCCTCCAAGGCCAGTGACAGTCTGGGCACCACTGGTAAGGCCTACTGGGCTGCAGGAGCAGGGTGACACGAGGGTGCAAGGAGTGAAAGTGCAGTGGTGACAATGCCACCAAGTACTCATTCTGCAGGCTTGGTCCTGGCTCTCTTCTCAGGACAATTTAGCTTGAGCCTGGGGGCAACATGCCCAGGCATGAGAGCGATGAGACCTGGGAGCAATGAAATCCCTTCACCTAGGCAATTTGATCCAAGCCTCTCAACTCAGCAGTGGAGAAAGGGGAGCATACCCCTCTATCCTGGGCTGCCTGGATAAATTCAATGTGGATTTCTCTGATTTGCTAGCACAAAGTCTGTCAGAAGCCAAGGGGATCTGCATGTTTGAGCCCTGATCTACATGGAACATCTGGGAGGGGACACAGCCTGGCCCCACTGCTTGCCAGCACAAAGCATACCTGACCCTTGCTGGGGTGCTCTTAAGGCCCAGATGGATGTGATGTTCCCATACCTTTACCATTGTCTTCCTCTTCCCAAGACCTTGCCCATGGGGAAGGCAGCCAGCACACTAACTTCATGGGCTGACCCCACACTGGGGGAAGGCATCCACCTCCTCCCTGTCTGGCACAATTCAGGCTGGAAAGCACCTTGGAAATAATGGCAGAACACCCATATACATCAACAGACCTTGATATCCAAAATATTAGGATTTTGCCTGATGTGCCACAGCTCACATGTGCAGGGTGGGCAGAGAGGAAGCCAAAGCCCAGAGATGGCATCAGCAGTGAGGGACCCCTGCAATCCACCTTCCCCTTCATGGGAGCCCACAACACTCCCTTACCATGCTGAAGTCCACGCCACTGGTGATGGTGTGTCTCCGGTGTTCTGCACGGCCTCTCTGATGCCTCCGAATGTCCCCAGCCCCTGGGTGGCCACTGTCTCCCTGGGACTGCCCAGCAGACTTTGCATCACCACCTGGAACAGAGGAAGGCATGAGGCCACAAGCTACTTTCAACAAAATTCTCCCTAGGGCCATTTCTGCGAGATGATCTGCAGGGTGGTCTTGCAAACAGGGAGAGACTGAGCAAACCACCAGCCTGAGTATCTGCTCCTGTTTTTGTCCAGGCAAGACAGGTGTCAGGAATGACTGACTCAGCTGTGCGACCTCAATGTCATCTTCTGTAGAGAGCAAGCAGCTTCCAGGAAAAGCTGATCCAGTCCCAGCTAGGCCAACTAAACCATTATTGATATTGCCTACCCTCATGTGTCGTCACGGGACACCTGGCTTCCATTCAGGTGGCACCAGCTCTGCCAGGAAACCAACTTCTCCTGAAGGCAGCTCCTGCCTAGTGATGGACTTGGCCATGTGGATATCCAGCCCAGACACTATGTCTGTGATATAACTATAAAGTAAATCAGGCTATAGATTTTCCAAAATGTTATCAAAACCCCAACATCCTATCCTGCAAAAGACTAATCTACTACAAAGACATGGTGCTGATGCAAATCCATGCATAACTATTTTTGAAGATTAAATTCATACTGGCAGGTCCCAGGCTGGATCAGGCACCACCTCCTGCCTGTAAGCCAGGGCAGGAATTCCGTGGGCGCCTGCAGTGAAGTCCATACAAGCCCCACACTGCCCACCCCCAGCAGCAACCCAGCCCTGCAGTCAGAGCCGAGCCAGCTCTGATCCACTGGTAGCTGAGCTGGTAGAGCAGCACCCTGACACCCCAGCGTCCCAAGCCACAGCATCAGGGCAGCCAGGGGTGCAGCCAGCACAGCCCCAGGCAAGTCAGGGCAGCAGCTCAGACTGCTCCTCCCTTCCTGCCTCAGTCGCCAGCCAAGTGCCCAGCACACCCTGTCTCGTGCCACCCCATCAGCCCCACAGCACGCCTGCTCCCTGCACACAGGTTTCCTCAAGAGTTCCTTTCCCAACCTGGCTTTTCAAGAAAAGCAGCAAGGAGCCGGCAAGTGATGGCAGGCAGCTGGGGAAAACGCCCTCTTCCCAGGACAGCTCCCCACGCGTCTGCCAGGCACCCCAACCCCTCGCACATCCTTCTACCAGAGCTGCCTGGCACAGATCTGGCACATTCCCTGCTGCAGGCACATGAAGGGCTGTGAGTGCCAGGACAGCATGTGTGGCACCACATGGTCTGGCACATTTCTTCCCTCTGCTCCACAAGTTTCCTGACCTGAACACATGGACATGACAGAGGAAGGACTATGAGGCACAAGAGGGCAGCCATGGCCACAGGAGCCACCCTTCATCTTGAAGGTACGAGGTGTGGGAACTCTGTACCAGGGCTGCCAGAGCTGCCATGGTCACACTCGTTCAGGGATAGGAAACAGGCTCAGGGGGCAGCAGTCAATGCGACACCTCAGTTTGTCACTTTGTGTCACGGGGGAAAGAAGCTACCATGCCATGAGAAAAATCCTCTTTCTGGTCCATCACAGTATCTCAGTCCACCTCCCAGCAAGTACTCTGACACAGACAGCTCTCTAGCACATCAGTGAACACAAAGTCTTTGATATCACCCATCCATATGCTTTGCCAGCTCACTTTGGTTTCATACACCCACATCTATCTAGGAGGAACCCAGCAGGACTGGTGTGACCAGACACATTGTCCTGGCAGACCTGCAGTATATCCTGCTCAAAAAGCTGAGGAACAGCCCCAAAACCAAGGATAGTCTCAACAGTCAGAATCCCAAGGTAAAGCCAGGAGCACTTCTGGTAGGAGCTGCAAGACAAAAACATTTTTGCTGCAGCTACCTAGAAGTGCTGGGTTGAGCTGAGCTACACCTCTGATGAACAGGAGCTCCGGGTCAACCAACCGAGTTCTGCACACCTGAGCTGACAAGGTAGTAGCTAAAACAGGAGCCCTGCTAATGTGCTGGGATAGTTCTTAGGGAAAGAACAGGATCAGATCACCAGAGGTGGAAGAGATCCTGCCATGAGATAATAGACAGGCTCCTTCCTCCCTCTGGGTCCTTCTTTGCCCAGGACAAGCAGACACCTCATGGTTGCTGTACACTTCTCCACAACTATTCTTGGCAATGGCCCAGACAAGCCCTTACAAACCATCCCCTCCCTCCTGCTAGTGCCAACAGCTCTCCACCTGCTAGAGCCAAGCTACCCGAGGAGCCAGTGCCCAGGGCCATGACACACTTCCTGGGCTCTTTCTGCTCTGTGCCTTGACACCTCCAGTCCCAGCTCCTAAGGGCACTACTGGGGTAAGGACCCTCAAGAGCAATGCACTCAGACACTACTGTGACAAGACACCAGGCATCTGAGGTAGGAACATCATTATGGCGACTTTCCTGCCTGTGACTTCTCCAGTATCTGCCTCATCATCCTAGTGTCCAGTGGGCGCTGTTGGCACCTCAGGGACCATGGAGTGCCAAGCAGCAGCTTGCAGACTGTACCAACACTGATGGGCTGAGCAGAAGCTGGAAGCTGACTTGAGCAGGGACCTCAGAAGCACTTCTGCCCACAAGCAGGTTAGTGTGGGAGAGTGGAGAGAATTGTCTCACTGGCTCACCGCACCCCTGGACATGCCAGGAGAACCACTGCCATTTTGCAATGGCAGAGACCTCTGCCATTTTGCCATGAGTCACATCCAAATCACCTCTCCCACATGTAGATGTCCCTCAGACCATAAAGCAGAGCTAGGGACGCACCCTGTGAACACTCTCTTCCCCCAAAACACAGGCAGAGAGCATTTCCTCCAACTCATTGCAGCTTATGAGCACTGATACATCATCTCAATGCACTTGGCTGGGGTCTTACAGAAGCCACCACATGCAGCTGGAGGCTCAGAGCAGCCTCACACCCAAATGATACAATCTTACTGTAGACAGGTCTCCCTGCAGCTCCCAGCACCCATCTCCACAGCAAGGATGGAGCCATATCCTGCCACGATACTGCCTAACTCCCTTGTAGCCAGCTGAGAACATCCACCTGTTCAACTGCACCCTGGGAAGCCACCTGTGGAGGGGCGCACTGGGCAGTTGTGCAGAGCTATAAGAGAGGAGTAACGAATTGTACCATTTTCTAAGCTACTGAATGAACCTGAAACTCAGGCCTCTGGCCAAAATACAGCCCTGCAGTGTGGGATGCTGGCAACAAGGGCTGGGGCACTAACCTGCCCACAGGCTCTGGACAGTTATAGAACATCACCCTATAAGAGAAAGATTCTCAGCAAGCAGAAAGCTGCTGTAGTCATCTGCTTGCTCGTTCCCAGGGCAGAGCTTTCAATCTGCTTTCTATTCACCAAGCAGGATTTTTTTCAGGTTTTTCCATATTTACACTCTTGATGAAAGAAAACTTAGTCTGCTTAATAATATTCCCTTAGATGAAGCTCCAGTGATTAGTCTGGAGGCAAAATAGAAAGCAGAGAACTTCAGTCACAGTTAAAAGTTTCTTCTCCACCCAGCAGAAGGGACTGGGAGGGAGTGGTTGGGAAGGAAAGACAAACCAGTCTGACCTTCCCAAGGTGGAGGAAGTCATTGCACTCAGGTGGTGCAATAACAAGTACCAGCTCTGCACACAGACTGTGTCTCCTCTGATCTCAAAGCACTTCACAAACCTAGATAAAGAATTATTACCTACCAGATAAGCCCAGAAGCCTGGTTTCCTTATAACATTTTCTACTGACTAGGAACAAATCAAAATGTCAGTGAAACAGTCTTCCTCATGCCAAGGTCAGTGCCTGAAGGGCTCTGGCAGAGCCAGCACAAGGAGGCCAGATCCCGAGGAAAGGGCAGAGTCCACAAGGATGTGCAGGTGAGCACTGTGGACAGAGCCTGGGATAGCAGAGCGCATCTCTGGTGCTGCTCTCCTATTTATTCATTGATTCTTTTTTTTTTTTTTTTTTTTTTTTTTGTGGGGGGGGGGGGGGGGATAGTGCCGTGGAATGATCCAAACTAAAAAGGCGGATCAGGTTTTGCATTTTTTATTTGTCCAAACCATGCATGACATCGTGAAGGAATCACCCCTGAGGGCCAGCCCAGCGCAGTGCCCAGAGCACACGGCCGCTCCGTGACCGCAACTTCACCCAGCGAAGCTGCTCGGTTTTGGGGGACCCCAGCCATTCTCCGAGACGCCCAGCTGTGCCACCCACCCCCCAGGGAAGGTCAGGACAGACTCTACGCCAGGGGACAAGCACGGACACGTTACGGCAAAGCCCTTAATTCCTCCTGTCAGCGCTATAAATAGCCCAGCGCGTCGCGAGGGGAACACAACCCTGGGCGGGCGGCGGCGCTGGGATATTCGCACCGGGACCGCAGTTCAGCGAAGCCAAATCAGGACTAACAGTAACTTCGGGCGAGTTTCACACCGGCCCTGCGGGAACCGCTGGCTCTGAGCCCAGAGCAGGACACAGGGGAGCGGGGTGAGCCGCGGGATCCCATTCCCACCTCCGAGCGCCAGTCCCCGGCCCCGGTGCTGCCATCACCCCGCGAGCCCGAAACCCCCAGCCCAGTCCCGCCACTCACCGCGGCCCCGGGGCTGGCCGTGCCCCGGTTCCCGCTGCCCGGTGCTCTTCCCCCGCCGCTCCTCGGAACAGCGAGGGCTTGGCGGCTTCTCCACGCTCCGCCGTCCGCCGCTGCCACCCTCCACCGGGGGCTCAGCCCCAGGCAGGGCCGCCCGCAGCCCCAGGACGAACCTCTCGAAGGTGAGGTAGCCGCTGGCCGGCGCCGCCTGCCGCAACCCCTCCATCACCCCGGCGGGCAGCTCCTGGGCTTCCGCTCCCCGCCAGCGCGATTCGATCTCCCGTAAGTGCACGTAACCCCGCCGCCGGTCATCCAGGATATCGAAAAGAGTCCGCAGGCTCTGCAGGAAAACCCGGGGAAGACCCTCGGTACCGGCCGGGAGCGAACGGTCACCGCGCTCCGGGGCCATCGCCACCGCTCTGAGCGTTACTCCAAGCCCTGCCCCCCTCGCCTATTGGCTGGCGGCAGGCAGTGCCGCGCTCCCATTGGCTGGCTGCGGCCAGGCTCTCCGGCTATTGGCTGAGAGGTAGAACGGCAATTTGAGTTGCATGCGGCGCCCGCCCCGCCCTGGGCCCGCGAGTCGCCGGCGTCCAACTCCTTTCGCGGGGGGAGCCCGACCCGCCTCTCCGGATCAAGGACCGCGACAAACGCCACGCCCGTCCTCCTTCTTCCCTTCGCTTTATATACTGAGCATGATGTAGTATGGTTCAGAGTATCTCTTGGGTCAGTTGGGTTCAGCTGTCCTGGTGGACTGAGAAGCAGAAAAGACTGTGGGTCTGTAAAAAGCACCACTCAGCAATAAGAAAAATATCTTCGTATTGTCAACACCATATTTTGGTGTCCGTATTTTCAGCACAAATCTAAAACCTATCCCCATAATAGCTACTGTGAAGAAAATTAATTCTAACCCAGCCAAAACCAGCATAATTTCCAAAGACTTCAGAGCTAATGTGATTAGTGAACAGCGACAAGGAAAATCCCAACTATGGCATTCATTCTTACTGCCACCTTTGCAAACACACCCAAGAATTGTCAGTCAATGCAGCATCCCTACCGGAGCAGGATGTAGAGCACCAGCACAGAGTCCTGTGTGGTGTACTTGTCTGGTGCCATGGGGGAAATAAATGCTAACAGAGGGAATAGGATCCCATCCCCCCAGTGCTGTGGCTGGTAAGACACCAGTGGCCAGCAGCAGATGGGGTAGGAGCCCTATTGAACCACAGACATTAAAAAGGAGGGGGAAAACCCACCGGTGTTGACAAAAGTGAGAGAAACAGGATTTGGATCTAATCTTTTACAAAATTAATATGCACTGGCATTGATAAGAGAATGAGTTTCTCTACTTTGCAGGGAAATTTGCTGTGTCTGTTAGACGCAGCAGTATGTTAATCCTATTGCACGGTGCTGCCTCCTCTGCAAACCCCTTCTATCAGAGTCCCATTGCAATACAGCAGACTGCAAAGCCCTGACGTCATGATTCCCGTGTCACAGGCACTTCACTTTGCCTCCTTGTGCCACGTGTCAGGGGTGATTCCCTTTAATTCTGAGTTGGCTTCGAAGGAAGAGGGTGGAAGCTACTTGGGGCTCAAGCCCTCCCACCCATCTGGCCCTTGCTATGCTGCCCTTGCCATCAGATTTCCTGTCCAGATCAGACTTTATCCAGGTGTCTTCAGCACCTTGGTCCTACTTCTGGCTTCTCATTCCATTCTTGCCACTTCTCCATGGAGACAGCCTTGCCAGCCCCAGGCTGCAAGGTAAATCACAGCAACCTCTGGAGACCCTCAGGGGACTTTTCTCTACCAAGATCCTGTTCCAGCTGCTCTCTGTGCTGCAGCTTAGCTGGTCATAGCCTGCTTTTCTTTAACTCATTTCTTTTCATAAATTTCCCAGACCCGTCCTACCTGTTTGAGGTATCTGCTCGGCTTAGTTGTGTTTGACTGAACAGGTTCACACCTGCTCAGGATACAGGGAGAAGGAACCAGTGCTTCCCTTTGCTTCCTGCTCCAAAAACAAGGTAGTCACTGTGGTGCTGCTCAGCTCTGGCAGCATCAGCACACGGGCTGTTTTGCTCAGCAAAGGCTTGATCTACAAAAAAAGGGGATTTCTTCTAGGTTTCTTCTTTCTTCTAGGTTTCCCCCCAATCTCTGACCTTGCAGGAACAGTCAGGAATAACGGGGAAATCAGAACGACCTTAAGGTCTTATGTCCCATCTCCCTGCCTAGCCAGTCTATCCCATCAGGAAAGTGAACCAGAGATGCCAGAAACAATTCCTGGTGTTTACTGTGTCTGCAAGTAAGTTCAGCTGAAATACTCTCACTGCTGTCCATGTGGAGCTTCCTGCTCCAGCACGGGAACTGGGACACAACTGCCGAGGGCAGCTCTGCTCTTACTGTGTTTTCTGTACCAAAGTGCCCTTGACAAAGCTGCTTTGAGACAGGCTGACATTTCCATCCTCAGGGTGGTCTAGTGGATGAGGTTAGGGACATTCTGGATATTCTTGGAAAAGAATTCTTGGGGGGTTGTTGTTTTTGGTTTTTTTAGGGGAGGGTTTATTTTCTCTCACTATATAGTTTGTCTTAGGGCCAGCCCAGACTCTTCTGACAAACAGAGATGTCTTTGTTTTTTTAAAATATAAACAGTGTAGTTATTCAGCCCTCCTTCCTTCAAGCTACTGGGAAGCACCAGCTGCCATTCAGACCTGGCCCAGCCCTCCCTCTCTGGTGGCCTGCGGATACTGGCAATGACACACATGGCTCTGGTGTGGTGACACCCAACATATCACTGGCCACCTCTGGGGGGGCACAGGCCATCTGCTGGAGGCTGGTGGCAGCCCAGCGTGTCCCACCAACCAGCATTGCCATATCTGTGAGGAGAGGCCAGAGCAGCTGCACCAAACCTCAGCAGAGCACTGGGGTAAAGATATGCTGCTGTTGGAGACTGGGGCACCTTCCTACATGACCCTGACCATCGAAGGGTGCTGATGGATGATTGTGGCAGTTGATCAAGCCCTATTCTGGCTTCAGCAGCAGGTAGGTGTTCACATCTAAATCTTGATGCTGCAGAGGACACATGGTGATTTACAGCCATGAGGTTGTCTCCTGATGACTATGTTCAAGCAGATGCTGTGAACCTCTGTTGCCACGTCTTCCCAGAGGAGAGCACGGTCTGGTGGGGAACCAGCCACACATTGTGGACTCAATGTGTGCATGCTGCTGCCTGGCACGTGGAATAGCTGGCACTGCCACCGGCCCATGGAGTGCTGCATCCAGAGTGGGTTTGTTCCCAGCCGGTGCAGGTCACCACCTGGCACAGTTGGTTGGGGCTTGGTTAAAACTAGACCAGGAGCTGTGCCAACAACAGTCCAGGTGCCAAGTTCTGGTGTTTCCCGTCACTGAACAATTAAGTACAATTTGTGTTAACTCTTCTTTCAGCCTCAAAGCTAGCAAGGAATTACTTCCAGTGGGGTACCAAAGTGTCAATCCAGAAATGCATCTGTCTCCAGGAGACCTCTCAGCAGAAGCTAAAAAATAGTGAAGGGAGCATGGTGGGAGAGGTTTCCCCTTGGGAAGGGATATCTTGTTTGACCTTTCCAGCTCTGCAATGCCATTATGTTTTCCATCTTTCTGCTCTGGGACGTCTTGGGCACATGCTCTATTTCCCTTGGTGAGGGCCAGGCATTTGCCATAAAGCATCTTTTCTCTCTTCTAGATTCTTTTTTCCCCCCAGAAGGTCGGCTAGCAGCAAGTCTGGTGGATGCCCAGTGGCTCAGAGGCTGTCACAAGGCTGAGAGAAGGGAAGTTGGTGAGCTGTTGAAATAAGCTGTATATTATAAAATAAGGGTGGTGGGTTGTTTGCTCACCTCAGTCCGCAGAGCAAGAACTGGTATTAGTAGGAAATGACAGCCACTGCATCCTGTCTCACCATGATGCCTCTCCTGCAGTCTTAGCACAGCAAGATTAAATAGAGGGAATAATTTGTGGCTTAAATGGAAGTCCAATAGATGCTGCAAGGGTTCCAGTCAGGATCCATCTAGCAACTGCTCTGTCCTATCACAAACTCCACTCTTCTGCTGCCAACAAAGCCAGGAGTGGCCAAGGGCAACAGCAGTCACAGGTGTGCCACAGCCAGAAATTCACCAGCCTGTCACCTTGTTCAGGGGATGACTGTAAAATCATATTTCTTTGGGGAACATATTGGTGTTCTGTGGAAAAACCAATGTCCACAAAGTAGACAGAGGAGTTCTTCAACTTTATTCAAATAAAGGGAGAGAGTCCACTGGAACCATACCCCTGTGGGATCTCTCTCTAGGCTTCATAGGACACAGACTCCTTTTCTCTAAACTCCCGGCCATATTTTGCCCTCTTCCTTTCCTCACTGGCTGAGTTACTAGGAAGATATAGTCTTCCTGAACTGCCTACCACATATTGCACACTTGAGCATGTATCGATATTCCCCCCCAAAATTCAGAAGTTCGGGCTTTGTTCTGCAGATTCACTAGAAATTCAGACTGTCTGGGTTCGGCAGTTGACTTTGTGTGGACCCATTTCTCCTATTATCCTGAGGTTCAGAAGCTCAAATTGTCTGGTCAAACTGTTTGGGTTCTGTAACAAACTTGTTCGGCTTAATGTTTGTAGATTAAGACCCGTTTTTAAGATACTAACACCCATTTCTCTTAAAGACCCTCACCCATCAACTCGTTTGTAAAGACAGTAGCACACATCCTTCCTATCAGTGGGTACTTAATGCTGCAGCCTGGAGCAAGGTCCTAAACACAACAACCTCTGCCTCTCTCCTGGTGGGATACCTCACCCTGACTGTCAGTGAGCTGGAGCTTTATTCTTGCTGAATTTCCTGTTCTACCTGCATGTTTGTCTTTAGTTTGGCATCCCTCCCTCCTGTTCACTGGGGCTGTTCTGCCTGGTGTAACTAATCCAACCTGTCACCATTTTTATTGCTTTGCAGAAGAAAATATCTACACACAGAGTCCCATGGGCTGTAGAACCAGCCAGGGGGATGCTGTGCAGCCAGACTAACCGGTTCTGGTGGATGGCTGGATTTGGGGAGTGGGAGCACATTTGCCAGCAGCAAATGATTTGTTTCAGTTCTAGAGTCCTATGGGTATGAGATCCCACAGCTCTGAGATGGGATTCCTTCAAGGCAAGGCAGCAAGTTCTGCAGGAAAAGGCAGGGCTTAATTTATAAGTTGTATCTGACAGAGCCTTTTATGATGGATAAGGGTTGCTGGTTATGGAGGCACCATATGGGTGGAAGGACCTGCACTCATTTGCACACTGGGCGGGCAGGGCATGCAACCACATCAGGGAAAGATTTCATGTAAAGGGGAGCAGAGATATCAGGTTTCAAAACCCCAAGGCTCTTCTGAGCAGAAGCTGTGTCAAGTCACATAAA